TTCTCTTTCGTTGTCTCATCGCAGTATTCATCGTTCCTGTGCCTTTCTTCGTCGAAATTGCCATTTCCTGCTTCGTTTTCGCCGGAATCACCATTGTTGATCATTTGGAACCCTACTCTAAAGCGAAGAATCAACATTGTGAACATTAACCATCAGTTGAACATGTTATTTATATTGTTGTTACAGAAATGCTTGGGAGCTCTAATTAGAGCCACCACTATTGATGTGGCAGTGAGTCCCTTCCACTGCCATAATGTATGTTGTGTCTTTTTTTCTTTCAAAAATGTTTAAGACCCCATTTGACCCCCTTTGATTTTGATTAGTCCATTTTTTTTTTTCTCTCCCAATCCCTAACCCCCACGTGTGTGTGGGGGTGGGATTTTTGAGGGGGTCTTAATCAATCACCTTTTTCTTTTTTTTTTTTCAATTTCTACCTCACTAGTGGTGGATTTAGAGCTCCTTATTTAGAGCTCTAAATCATTACTGTTGTTGTTATTATTTCCTTCCTTTGTGATTGTTGTTATTGTTGGTGTTGTTAATAGTGTTCAAAGAATATGAGCCTCCTGTTTTTTGCTTTTTTCCAGAAAATACTGAAATTGTGGCATGATATATTGTTTATGTGTGTAAATAGTGTAGTGATGTAAACATTCACAATATGTGGACATTCTTATTTTTAAGCATTGATAATATGTTACTTTCTCCCTTTTTGTGATTGTTGTTGTTGGTATTGATGATATTTAAAGGATGTGAACTCTCTGATTTTTTTTTCCCCAAAAAATAATGAAATAATGGTCTGATATATTATTGTCTATGTGGGTAGCTAGTATTGTGATGTGAACATTCACATCATCTGTATATTCTTATCCACATCATGTTTGATACCTAAAAAAATAGTGGTGTGTGATTAATGCATTGTTGATGCTGTCATGTTTTTGTACTTTGTAAGATACAATGTGAATATTAACATCATTCTTATATTCAAAACAAGGGTTGTTAATGTGAACCTCGACATTAACACTGTGAACATTAACATTTGTATGTAAATATAATATGAAGATTACCATTGAAAAGTATCCATTCCTACTTAATATTGTCCATTTTTTTGCCCCAATGTGAACTTTCATACATGTCACCATGATCACAGTGTTTTTATCTATATTCCAAAATTCATGTGAACATTCACATTCGTATGTTTTAGTATAAATATTCACATCATGTTTGTATACAAAATGAAAGTTGAGGCTTGTGGTTGTGTAATTTGATACAATACTGATGTGAACCTTAACATCACTTTTATCACAATGGTATTGAACACAGTGAAAACGTATTCACCATTCAATATTATATGGGTGTGTGAATAATAGAGTTATGCTAGAGATTCCAAATTATCTACTAAATTTTCTACTAAAATTCTCACATAAGTGTGGGACCCACACACACGTGGGTTTGTATGGGTTCCACACCCACATGAGAGCTTGGGCAGAAATTTTGGTAGATTATTTGAAGTCTATAGCATTTTTCGTAAATAATATTAATACTAATTGACAACACAATGACAAAATTTCATTTCAAATTAATGTGAATATAATGATAGTCAACATCCTAATGTATGGAAACTACCAAAATATAATAATAGTCAATATAAAGACATGTTTATTTTTTGAGCAATGTTAGAAATTCTAAAAATTCTACCAAATGTCTCACATAGTGTGGGACCCATCCATACCCATGTGAGGCATTTGGTAGAGCTTTTGAGATCTCTAGCATTTTTGTTATTTATTTTTTTGTGTGTAATATATATCAACATTAAAATAAGAGTATAAAAGTTTAAGAAAATAGAGTAAATCAAGAAAAATAATCTTATAAAATAAAATATAAATACATAAGACCAAGTGGATTATAAATTTTCTTCAAGGAGTTCTTAAATTAGAACAGTTCTAAATGAAATTTATCAAATAAAATCGGGTGCCTCTATTTACACATCACATTTTATCTCAAAGCACACCTTTACTAATTTGATAAATACAAAATTTTCTCAATACACACCACAATCTTCCATCTTTACCCATACTCACACACCCCACCTACATCTTCTTTCTCTCCCTCCATTCTCTATTTCATCAAAGACGCTAGTGGTGAAGACCCATTCTTCTCAATTCTTTGTTTCATCAAAAACGCCGGTGGAAACAACTCTACATTGGAGATATAATAGGTAAGAATTCTCACTTTGCTTAGATTTGAGGGTTTTATGTACATTTTTTCATTGCCATGAACATTGTATATGAATGTTTGATTTTGCGAACCCGTGACATTGTATATGAAAGTTTGATTTTGAGAACTGTTCGACACTGGTCTGTTGAATATTAACCTTTTGTCCGGACTGTATCTGTCGAACAAATTCAATATGTTCGACATTTTACTGTCGAACTTAAGTAAACTATTCAGACTTAGCCTGTCGAACAATTTCAATATGTTCAAAAATTGAGTATCGAACAAAATTAAATAGTCTGGCTCTGTACTTCTGAACGGACTTATTCTTCACTATTTTCTGTTTCATTTTCAGAAATGGATGACCCTTTGCATATTCCACCCACTGTGTATATTTTTGATTATTTCTTTAAGGGTTTTTTTAATTTTATTTTTGTCTTAGGATTTTTGGATTCTTGAGAGAGAAGATACGTAAGTAGCGTTTGAGATACTTGGTGTGTATTGTATTCATTATTATCTTATATGGTAATTTTATAAAAGATGCGTATCATAACCCTTTGTCTTTTGTGGTCATTTTACATAAAGTTAATATTATAATAAAAATCAAATCAACTAATAATGTGCTTTAAAATAAAAGGCGGTGTGTAAATAGAAGCACTCCACCAAGAGTTTAGACAGAGCTCAGTAAAAAATGATCGTTACTGAGATACTGAGATATAGAGAACGAAAAACCGATCATGGGTGCTCGACGAAAGAGAATGATCACCTGATTCGAAGCACTAAGAAAATTAAGAGTAACGTTGACCCAGAAAATGAAGCCATGGTTGAAAGCACAACAATCGATAAGGAATCATGGGAGGAGTTACTTAACCCTAATCCAATGGTTGTCATTACGAATTAGGAGAAATCTTCTCCTACTGAAGGGAACTCAGATGTTGTAACGGTGGAAAATACTTGGGCTGTAAAAGATTCCACGTCCTTCAAGCAAGCATTAATGCGATCGCGTTTCAATGAGAATGGTAATGAAAAGAATTTTGATCCTGATGTGGAGGTGTTATCATTTGATGATGAAGAAACATATACGATAAAATCATCTGAGGGAGAAGATGAGGAAATGGAAGAGGAGAAAGATGGGATCCCCAAGGTTAAACTACCAGCAACTCTTTTGAAAAAGATTAGGGAGCCATGGAAGAAATGTTTGATTGTGAGGTTATTGGGGAAAACCATTGACTATAAACTCTTTATGATAAAAATGACAAAGGTTTGGGGTCTCCAAGCTGATTTCAAAGCTCTGGATATAGGGAATGGTTTCTTTATAGTCAAATTTGATTTGATGGATGATTATACCAAAGTTTTCACTGGCGGTCCATGGATAGTAATGGATCACTATGTAATAGTGAGAAAATGGCAACCTGATTTCAAGTCCAATGAAGCCGAAGAAGATACCACAGCGATATGGGTAAGGTTTCCTGCCTTACCCATCGAGTACTATAATGAAAAAGCCCTCTTCCATATAGCAAAAGTGCTAGGAGTCCCACTGAAGATAGATATCAATACTGTGATGGCCGTTCGAGGGAAATATGCTCGTGTTTGTGTGGAAATGGACCTCCGAAAGCCATTGATCTCCCAAATATCTATAGGTAAACATGTTTACGGTGTTGAATATGAATACGTGCACTCATTTTGTTTTTCTTGTGGTAGGGTCAGGCACCGGAGGCAGATTTGCAGTAATAGACCAGTACTAGAGGCTACAAAATCAGCTCAAGAGATGATTGGAGAAAACAGCCAAAGACAGCAAGAACAACAAAGAGATGAACCTAAACTCTCATCAGTAACACATGGTGGTGAATCTACTCATGAAAAGTATAGGCCATGGATGACTGTATCTAAACATAGAAGGCCGACAAGAGGCACAGTCATATACAAAGGGAATAATATGCAACAGAAAAACAGATTTGATGCTCTTAATGAAGAAAGTGAGCCAGTTACAAGATACAAAGCCCGTATAGACCGAAGAAGAGAGATTAAAGGTAAGGCCCACTTGGAGGTAGGATCCACCCACCATCTTAAGGTATATGAGAGGAGAACTGCATATGACACTACAGTAGATAAGGACAAGCAAAAAGAGGAGATTAGACTGGGGGAGAAAATTGCCATTGACATGGAGATTCAGTATCAAGGGGCAGCGATTGGGGCAGATGAGCAATCTACTAATAGACATCTAATCGTGGCAGCTCCGAACCAAGTAATCCAGAAATCTAAAATCATCAACCTAACCAAACCTAGCCAACCCAAAAGCTCTATCACAAAATCTCAAGTTCTGCAACATAGAGCTGGCTTTAACAAACCCAAACTTAGAGGTCCATAAGACAAATATGGAAGAGAAAAGGGAGAACTATCCTACAGAGAAACACAATATGACCCAAAATAGAGTGATGGTGTGTCTCACACCAGGGAAATAAGCATATCACCTTGTCACCTTAGAGTGGTGGAACGAAGAAACAAAGCTGAGAATCTAGGCTTGGCGACCAATGGATGCCAATCAGGAGCTGCATTACATCTCAATGAGCCTGATGAAGTCAATGGCAGAGAATCACCAAGCAATAAGGAGGTATCTGGAACTTGATATCCAGCACCCTCTACCTAATCATGATATACCCCCCATGGATTTAATGATCTAGAATTGTTGAGGAGCAGGAAACAAGAAATTCAAAAGAACTCTGAGAGAGCTAGTCCAAATACATAAACCAGTTTTGGTAGTGCTTATGGAGCCTAAAGTGGAATTTAAAGCCATGGGAATGTACTTCAACTGCATGGGATTCACGGCTTCAACTCATGTGGATCCTATTGGTCGTAGTGGAGGTATTTTGATGATTTGGAATCCTAAAGTGATGAATGTCAGAGTTATGGAGGCCTCTTCCCAACAAATAACAACGATAATATCTAGACAAGACTTCCAAGATTGGGTTCTATCAGCTGTTTATGCAAGTCCTAATTCTAACAAGAGAGATGAGTTATGGGAGCAACTTACAACTATTGCTCAGTCCATGGATAAACCATGGTTAGTTGCTGGTGATTTTAACGATTTCTCTTCCTCAAATGAGAAAAGGAGCCTTCAAGGGAGTAACACTCAGAGTATTAATCAAGATCTTAGAAGAGGTAGTAAGTTCAATGACAGACTTAATATATATAAGTTGATGGATTTAGGTTGTGCAGGTCCAAGATTGACATGGTCTAACAATCGGAAAGGTTGGGCTAATACTATTGTTCGTCTGGAAAGAGCCTTGTGCAATACTGAATGGCGAATTACATTCCTAGATGGAGCTGTCAAGAATTTACCCCGCACCTATTCAGACCATTCTCCATTGATGGTGCTCACCCAAGGTAAACCTCCCTTTAACCCTGTTTGTAGACCTTTTAAGTTTATGGCTGCCTGGTTAACCCATGAAAACTTCAAAGCTATAGTTGAAAATAGTTGGACCAATACTACTTCTTCTCTGAGTGAGAAACTTAATGATCTTGCGCAAGTTGCTAGTACCTGGAATAAAGAGATTTTTGGTAATATTTTTAGAAGGAAGAGATGGTTAATTGGGAGGATCGAAGGGATCCAAAAATCCCAAGCTACCAACTATTTCCATAATCTTCACCGTCTGGAACTTGAGCTTATTGAGCAATATAATCATGTGTTGTATCAAGAAGAACTCTTGTGGTTCCAAAAGTCTAGAGCCAAGTGGATAACTCAAGGTGAAAGAAATACCAAATACTTTCACCTTACTACCTTGGCTAAAAGAAGAAAGAGAAAGATTGAGATGCTCAAGAATGATAATGGGATGTGGGTGGATCAACCTGAACAATTGAAAGTGTTGATCACCAATTACTTTATGAATCTTTTTGGGTATACCCCTTCCATTTTCTCCACTAATTGGAGTAACCTGGTGAGCTGCAAGCTAAACCAGGTCGATAATGCTGCTCTTACTAATGTCATTACTAATGAGGAAGTGTGGAATGCTGTTAAGAATATCAATGCCTTTAAAGCCCCTGGGAGGGATAGGTTTCAGGCTGTGTTTTACCATATTTATTGGTCCATTGTTGGTGCTTCTGTGTGTGATTTTGTTAAAAATTGTTTTCTTCAAAATCATATTCCCAGAGATGTGAATAGAACTCTTATTGCCTTGATCCCCAAAATTGATAACCTTGAGAGTGTGAAACAATTTAGGCCTGTTTTTTATAAAATTATTTCAAAAATCATTGTTAATAGATTAAGGCCCCTCTTAAGTAAGATTGTTAGACCTAACCAAAGCAGCTTCATTCTTGGAAAGAATACTAGTGATAATATAATCATTACTCAAGAAATTATTCACTCTCTCAACAAAAAGAAAGGTAAGAAGGGAGGTTTGGTTTTTAAAATTGATTTGGAAAAAGCTTATGATAATCTCTTTTGGGATTTTTTAAAACAAACTTTGGAGGAGTTTAATTTTGATCATAATTTTATTGAGCTTATTATGTGTTGTGTGACCACTGTTAGTACTGCTGTTATCTGGGATGGTGTCCCACTTCAGGAATTCACTCCCTCCAGAGGCTTGAGACAAGGGGACCCCTTGTCTCCTTACCTGTTTGTGCTTTGTCTAGAGAGGTTATCGAATATGATTAGTTTTCAAGCTGATCATAAAGCTTGGAAAGGGATGGAGACTTCCAGAAGAAGGCCCAAACTCCCCCATCTTTTCTTTGCTAATGACTTAATGCTTTTTGGGTAGGCTACTACATCCAATTATAGTACTATCATGAAGGTCATAGATGAGTTTTGTGATATTTCTGGTCTGAAAATCAATCATCATAAGTTTAAACTCTTTGTCTCCCCTAACATTGATAGGAAGAGTGCTAAAGAGATGAGTACCAAGTGTGGCATCCCTCTTACTTTTGATTTAGGGCAATACTTGGGTGTCCCTATCATCCCAGGTAGAGTTAACAGAGGTATTTTTACCCACATTTTAGATAAGATGCAAAGGAGGTTGACAGGGTGGAAAACTCATACTCTATCCATGGTTGGTAGAGCCACTCTAATCCAATCTGTGGCTTCTGCTATACCTGCCTATGCTATGCAGACTATGCTCTTACCAGCTAAGGTTTGCAATGAAATTGACAGTATGAATAGAAACTTTCTCTGGGGGGACACTCCGGAAAAGAAGAAAATTCATCTTGTCAATTGGAATATTGTGTGTAAAATGAAAAAAGCTGGTGGTCTGGGGATTTAAAAAGCTAGGGATCAAAACCTTGCTTTGATCTCTAAGTTGGGTTGGAATTCGATTAGCCACAGAGACAGTCCGTGGTGTGAGGTTTTGAGACATAAATACTTAAACAATACTTCCTTCTTTGACCAGCAAAAAAGTAGGGATGCTTCATATATTTGGAGAGGCATCATAAGCACTAGACCTTTCTTAAGGAAAGGTGTTAAGTGGAACATTAGTGATGGCAAGTTTGTGAATGTTTGGAAAGATTGGTGGTGTGGAAACAGTTCTTTTGAGGACACTGTTTCTGGCACTATGCAATCTAATATTATTGATGCTATTCACATTTCCACTCTGAGAGGGTTGCTGGGGGCAGATGAGAATTGGGATGATATTCTGATTAAAGATAAATTCCCTCATCCACTGGCTACTATTATCCTGGGGACTCCACCCCTTGGAAACAATGAGATAGATACTCCAATTTGGAAGGGATCTCCTGGTAGGGAATTCACTGTTTCTTTTGTGTATGAAATGCTTCAGGACAATGAGAACAGGGCAGATGACTGGTCTTGGGTGTGGAAACTAAGATTACCACAAAAACTAAAAGGTTTCTTGTGGACTGTTCTCCATGGAAAACTGCTCACAAATCAAATGAGATTGAAGAGAGGATTGACTGATACTCCTCACTGTCTTAGATGCAATGGGGTTGAGGATATGAATCATTTATTTAGAGAATGTTATATAGCAAAGGAAGTGTGGCTCATTGTTTTTGATAAACAATGGTACATAGATATGATAAGGAGACCTTGGATGGATTGGCTCATGAGGAATGCAAAAAGTAAAAATTATTATAATGCACAGCTCTCTTGGTTTACTGTTTTTGTGGTGGCTCTATTGAAAATTTGGAAAAACAGAAATGGATTTGTATTTGAAGGAAAATCTATTAGTAACCAAGAGAGTGCAAAATTTATTTTCGATTACTCTCGAGAAATCCATCAAGCTTTCCTCCAGTCTGTACCACAATCCAGACCCTCATTTAGACTAATCAAATGGTGTTTCCCACCTACAGGAAGGCTGAAACTAAACACTGATGGCAGCAGGAAAACTGGAGAAGATGGAGGCTTTGGTAGGCTGATCCGGGATGAACGAGGAGCTTGGGTGTGTGGATATTATGGACGTTTGCAACTTGGAACTAGCCTTGAAGCTGAATTATGGGCTCTATACAAGGGACTCATCGTGATCCTACAAAAAGGCATGAACAATGTTATCATTGAATCAGATGCAATGCAGGTGGTATAACTGATGAACGAAGAAACAAGGGACAACTTTCCTTTCAAGAATTTGGTAGAGGACTCCAAGATCTTGCTCTGAGGATGTCAATGCACTGTCCAACACGTTTGGAAGGAAGGAAATCTATGTGCCGATGCCTTGGCGAAGTTTGGAGCTCAACAACTTGAAGATATGTTGGTGGTCAATGAGCCACCAGCGGAAGTTAGAAGTCTTATTATTTCTGATATGATAAGCTTGTTTAGGGAACGGGCTTAGCCCTTGTTTTCCCTTTCCATTTCCGCTGTAAAAAAAAAAAAAAAAAAAGATAGAAGCACCCTGCCTGGGGCAGGTCTTATGTACCATGTTGGAGCATCAACCTCAACAAAAATTAATAAAAATATTTTAAAAATAAAAACATAGAGTTATGTTTCAAACCGCAACTATTCAAGGCCCGTATGTGTCTGTCATGTTTGTTTGGGTTGATTTTAAAAAAATATTTTTAAATAAAATTTTATTTATTTTTATTAAAAAATTATATTTTAATTAATTTTTTAAATATTTTTTTAAATATACTTAATCAAAATATATCTAAAAAGTAAAATATATTAATTAAAATATTTTTCAAATATCATTAAAAATAGAAAAAAATTTGAATAAAATTCATGTGCATTTTTATTCAGATTTTTGTTTATTTTTTGTGAATTATTTTCATAATTTAATTAATTATTTTTATTTTTGGATGCATCTAGATGCTTCTACAAAATTAAAAATTTTATCTAAAATATGAAAAGAAAATGAGTAAAGATAAAGTTAAAAATAATTTCTGTAATTTATAAAATTTTAAATCTTTAAATTTTGAGAAAATTATAAATCAGTGTAAAAGATATAAAAAAAAATTGATTATAAATTTTTCCTTCACTTTTTTTTTTTTTGGTCCAAATTAAAAAAAAACAACAAGAAATAAACCACTACATTTTTTTTTTTTTTTTTTTTTTTTCACTTTTCATTGTGTTGTAATTTTTCTTAAATTATTTTCTTTTCCCAATCAATAACAACGGGTAGATCTTATTAAACTTAAACATTTTTTTTACAAAGAATGCAAAGAAAATAAAAAAAAATCTAAAGTATGGAGAGAGAATGAATGGTAGTACAAATAGAGTGTCAATGTGTTTGAGTAAATAATATTTTCACATTTTTTTTTGTAAGAAAAGTGATTTACAAACATAAATTCATATAAAAAAATCATTAAAATAAAATGTTAATGATATTTGTGAAAATATAAAAATAATAATAAATGTTTTGATTAAAAATAAAAGGACCACAAGATGTCAACTTGTTTTGTATAAAATTTTTGTATAAACATTATGTTTGTGTATCATTTTTTTTTGGGTAAGTAACTTGTGTATCATTTGTGTATTACTCTTTTCTCAAAACATCATGTACGGATTTTATTTAAAATAATTAAAAATATAAAGTACCTTGTAATAATTAAAGAGGGACTCTAGTATAATTTTACAAGAACTACATTAAAAATACTTTAGTATGGAGTATTTATTCATAAATTCATTTTCACATACTTATATTCAACTTAATTCAAATTATTTTCTTATATTTCAATAAGTCTTATGGGTGATATAATTACCAAAATACTTCATAATATGGTGAAACACACATTAATATTCACATTTATAAATTTATTTAATATGAATGTTCATATCATGAACCTTCAAAATAGTGCACATCAAGTTTCTAAGGATTTAAAAAAATATTAGTAAAAGTAAAATTACATATAAATTACCTTAAATATGAGATTTAGGATTTAATAAATTAAATATCCAAAATAATATAATTTATTGAAATATAAAAATATCTTATAGATTAATTAAAGTATAAATATTTAAAAGATAATTTTTTAATAAATTCTGAAATTTTAGTATTCATAGGTATTAGTGTAATTTTAAAAAAATGAGGGATCACGTGTCCTGCCTTCATCAAATCCGTAACACAATTTCAACTTTAAAATCATTTTTTTTATAAAGATAATATTTGAAAAAATTATGTAATTAAAATGTAATTTTAAAACTTTATTTCTTTTGAGTTCCACCGACAACTCTATAAGTTTTTTTTTATAAATTTATTATTTTTTTGTTAAATTTCATTTTGGTTGTTCGAATTTTGCACTTGGTGTTGTTTCATCTAAGGTGTAAATGGCATATAATGAAAGGATAAAATAGTAAAAAAATTATAAGTATAGAGTTTAAATTATTTAAATTAAAAGTACAAAAATTAAAGTGATACTTTGTTAAAATTACAAAGAATGTAATTTATCCAAAATAAAATTTCAACATTGAGAGTTTTATTAATTTTTAACGATAAATTACAAATGGGTAAATTACAGTGACATCTACGGAAATTTTTATTTAATACAGATTCTTCTCTAGTTTGAAAAATTACACTTACCTCCTATAAGATTAAAATGACATATTTGCCAGTTTTTTTTTATAAATTTATTATTTTTTTGTTAAATTTCATTTTGGTTGTTCGAATTTTGCACTTGGTGTTGTTTCATCTAAGGTGTAAATGGCATATAATGAAAGGATAAAATAGTAAAAAAATTATAAGTATAGAGTTTAAATTATTTAAATTAAAAGTACAAAAATTAAAGTGATACTTTGTTAAAATTACAAAGAATGTAATTTATCCAAAATAAAATTTCAACATTGAGAGTTTTATTAATTTTTAACGATAAATTACAAATGGGTAAATTACAGTGACATCTACGGAAATTTTTATTTAATACAGATTCTTTTCTCACGTTTGAAAAATTACACTTACCTCCTATAAGATTAAAATGACATATCTGTCCTTAGTCTTTATATATATAAAATAATAAAAAAATGCTAATATTTTGTTCATGCTATTTCAAGAGAAATAATAATCATCTTCTTTGGTTTAACTCACACAATTTTTTTTTTAATTTTTTGCATTTTTTTATTTAAGTAAATTTAAAATAATGCTGATTTTTTAAAATATTTAAGTAATTTTTTATTTTTTATTTTTTAGATGCACATAATCTATATATAGTTAAGAAATATAATATTTTGTGATTTTTTTTAAATTCACCAAATACAACAAAATTATAAAAATTCAAAAATTCAGTACTATTGTAATAAATGTGAATGACAGTATTTGGTAATACTATAATAAATGTGTGTGAATAAACGAGAAAGTAAAATGATGGTGAAAATAAATATTAAAAGTTCTATTCATATATAAAAATTTATACAAAAAATATCATAAAAATATTATGATAGCGATGTTATTGTAAATACAAATCATATTTATAGATGTTTTATTTTAAAGTGAAAGGTCACAATTAAACTACATCATTGTGTTTGAAAATTCTATATAAAATTTATATTTGTATATGACTTAATAAGAATATGTTTAGGTAGAATTTAATTATGAAAACTTGTAGAATGTTGTCATGATGATAGGAAGAAGAAATGATAAGAAAAAGGACAAAATGGTCATTTAGAAAATTTTGAGGCATTCAAGGGTAATTTTTAATGAAGATTACAAATCTCAGGGAGATGAATGTTATTTTTCAAACTAGAATGGAGAATCTATATTAAACAGAAATCTCAAAGAGTGTCAGTGTAATTTCCCCATTACAAATATATACACTGAGATTTGTTTAAAATACATATCACCCTTTTGTTACGAAAACTACAAATACCCCGTTGCTAGAATCTTTTACTTGGGGTTGTTTTGGGTTTGACTTATTTTAATTTTTTTACTTATTACAAAAAGATGTACAAAAAAATAGTGATGTGATGTTATATAAATACGTCAATAAACAACTTATTTGGAATGTTCCCAAAAGAGTCCTAATAACAAAATATTTTTTTTAATTACTCTCTTATACAATCATAAAATTATCTTAATTATTAATTGAAGTATATTTATAACATTAAAATTTGTTAATTAACTTATATGCTCGAGACATAATTCTAAAATTATATGAGTAATTCATATTTAAAGAAATTTTAGATAATGTATTTATAATTTGTCCAAGTAATAACTAATGTTGAGAGACTTCGATCATCTCCATTATATATTTGTAAAAGAAGAATTTCATTATATATTCAATAGTTATGAAATAAGAATGCATATTTATAATTATTATTTTAAATTAAGAAAAGATCACTAAACTTATTATTGGATAATCTAATAAAACTTCTTCATTACAAACTTGTAAGGGCTAATTACATCAATAGACTTTATTGTTTTTTCAAAATTTCAATTTGGTTCTTATACTTTGAATTTCGTCAATTTCATTCTCATGCTTTTTTTTTATTTATTTTATTTTTTATCTTCTTCCACTTTGATCCTTTTTGCTTTATAATATTGACCCTAAGATTTTAATTATTATATTTTTGTCTCTTAAGCCCTGTTTGTTTGACCACGTGAGTGGCTGGACTGGAGTAGGATGGCTGTGGGTCTCATCTACAACATGTTTGGTGATGATTTGAAAGAGCAGCTTGATAGTATGAGCAGCTTACTAATCCCCCTCAGTAGAGAGATTAACTTGGTTAGGAAAAACATGGAATTAGGAAAGCAGTGAGGGGATTGGGTCTACCTGGTCATCCGCCTGAACATCTTCCTAGACATTTAGTCGGTTGACCAAAACAATGTTTTTTTTTTTTTTTTTTTTTTGTGTGTGGAAGGGGGGGGGGAGGGCAATTGCAACCTGTTAAAAGAAAAATTTATATTTGTTTTAGATATTTTTTAATATAAAAATTATTTTTTTTAGATTTAAAAAGAAAATTTAATAATCCCATCACTAACCATTTTCAACCCTATATTATCAAAACAAACACATTTTCACCTAATCTCCTCACTAGCAATTCACACATTAACAATCTCTTCACTAACAATTCTATCTAATCTAATCCGCTAAACAAACGTGGCCTTAATTTTTGTTATATTATAAAAATACCTTTTATTTTATTTTTTCGTTTTTTTAG